AGAGCCCTTGCCTTTCTCATGGCCAACTTAACGTAGCATGCTGAGGACTTGGAGCTGGGAAGAGTTTGTTTATTTTGGCCCCTGTTGCGAAAATCGAGAAGGTTCTGTATCAAAAAGCGTTGCAATCGAAGTTGTATTTCGGTAAACGGTCTTTTGTAATAAAAGAAGTCGATCAAACAAAAAGAACACTGAAAAGGATAGAATTTTTTTTTTAAATTAAAGATGGGGAAAACATCAGTTGAAAAGGGAAAGTGATCTGAACATATTTTGCGATATCGAATTCCAATAATTGATAGGACATCATAGTGACGTCTTTTTCTAATATGTCAAGTATATATTATAAAATTATCATGACTACCATCGGGTACCTCCGCTAGTTAATACATAATTCATCATCACTTTTTATCGTACCATCCATATTAAGTATATATCTAACATACAATGGGCTATTTAATTTCAGTCTGAATTTATCAAATAAAAATAATACTTGATTTCAAACTGAAACGTGAGTCTAGGAGTGAGGGGGGGGGGGTGACTGAGGGTGTGGGTGTTGGTCTGGGACCCACACACACACCCACACCCATGGTGCGGGTGTGCTTGTGGTTTTGTGTACTATAGGCTTTAGTCCCCTGCACAGGGGACTAAGCGGGGACTAAGCTTTTTGTGGGGAGGACTAAGGGGGACTTTGCAGGACTAGGGGGGACTAAGGGTTTTTAGTGAGACTACGTAGTATCAAGGGAGAAAAGTTTGATTCGGAAGAAATTGGTGTGGTTTTTTTGATTTTAGAATTCAGTTTGAAATAAAAAAGCCCATAGACTCATATCTAATCGGAAAAAAAATATAATTGATTAACAAGTTTAGCAGCTGATGTTCGTTTTTCATTATTATTCATTCATGTTGAATCGAATTCATCATTCATTTCAATACATCAACGTTGATATGTTGAATAAGCTATTGTTTTAGAAAAAAAAACAAATGAAAAAAAAATTTTTGTTTTTTTTCCTCAATATTTACTTGTTTTTAAGGCTTCACTAACATGAATTTCTTCTATAGATCCAATTTGGGTTGAAATTAATAATTGATCAAAATCAAATAAATTTGAATATTTAAGTATAATTTCATGTGTTTCCAATGAACTTAATACAACATTATGATCATTATGTTGTAAAAAAATATAACATACAATATCAACACACTAAAAAAAGATTTACATTGAAATTAAAATCATTCATTATTTGTTGAATACTGATTGCAAGATGTTGTTGATTGTATCAATATTTTTACTTCTATTTATTGATTGTTGATTATTGCTTGATTATGATTGAAATTCTTAGATATTTAAACCAAGTAATTGAGGGTCGGGGTGTGTAGGGATAAGCAATACAAACACTCATACCCACCTCTCAAAATGCCTGAGTCTTCTTAAAGCACATTCGCCATACTTT